GTGATATCCACAGGGGACTCTGGTGGTGCTGGAAACAGAGTTGCACTCTGGGCCTTCAGGGGAAAACAAAGGACTGATTGTACAATGGTGATAACTCTGCTGGTGCGTCCTGCAGCTTCCAGGGCCTCTGTAATTCACTCTGAGGCCTCAACTGCCTTTCCCTGCCAAAGAGCCTGCTTCTGCCTTCCTAATAGTCTTACAAACTCTTCTTGCCCCTCACCTGCCCTGCCAGGGAGTCTTCTCAGCACCACCACCCCCTTGCCCCATCTTCTCTACTTTCCTCACCCCTATGGGACAGCATTGGGTTGTGCTCTGCTCTGCTCTTCTCTGCTTGCTTGCTCTTTCTTTCTTTCTTTCTTTCTTTCTTTCTTTCTTTCTTTCTTTCTTTCTTTGTACTGGGGCTCAAACTCGGGACCTCACACTTGCAAGGCAGGCGGCAGAACCTCTTTTCTTTTCTTTTTTCTTTTCGTATTCTTGTTTTCAACTACTCTCATCTCACCTGCAACCCCAGGGCCTCTGCACTGGCTGCAGTCTGGTCAGGAACACCTTCCATTGTGTTGCCCCACTGCTGGCCTCAGTGCTTATTTAGATCTCTGTTTAAATGTTTGCTCTTCTAGCGGGGCAACATGCCACATGCCTGTCATCCCAGCACTCTGGGAGGCTGAGGCAAGAAGACTGCAAGTTCAAGTACAGCCTGGGCAGTTTAGTGACTTAGCAGGACCCTGGCTCAAAATATAAAATAAAAAGGGCTGGGAGTATAGTTGAGTGAGAAGGCCCTAGGTTCAACCTCCAATACAAAAAAAAACAGGCACCTCTCCTACACCCACACTTGTGCCTATCCTTGCCCGTGGGCCACTGGTCCTCTCTGCATTTCCCCAGGACCTGTGCTTGCAGTCTGCGGAACAGTCAAGCACAGTGCAAGGTATCAGGTGGAGGTATTCGGCTTGGGCAGCTTCCCAGAAGGGCTGGCACCTGCACTGAGTTGTGAAGGATGAGTTAGAAAATCGCAAGCAGGCCCAGGATGTACCTCAGTGGCACAGCACCTGCCTGGCAAGCGCAAGGCCCTGGATTTGATTCCTGGTACAAAAAAAAAAAAAATCACAGATGGTTAAAAGGAACACGGGTGGGCTGGGGATTTAGCTCAATGGTTCCGCCACCTGCCTCACAAGCAGAAGGACCCAAGTTCGATCCCCAGTACCAAAAAAAAAAGGGACACAGGTGTCTGATAGAAGGAATGGCAGGAGCAGAGGGCCCAAGATGGTGAGGAAAACAGGCCCACTCCAGGGACAGTGGACTCTCTGCCCTCGCCTCCCACCTACTCTGCTCCTTTCTTCTGGCCACATGGCTCTCCTGGTTGCTGCTCAAACATGTGGAGCCTGTTGTTTCCTCAGGACCTTTGCACTGGCTGTTCCCTCTACCTGCAGTGATTTCCTTCATGCCAGGCATGGTGGCACACATCTGTTGTCCCAGCACTCGAAGGGTGAGGCGGGAGGATTGCCATGAGTTTGAGGTCAGCCTAGGCTACAAAGGGAGTTGAAGGCCAGCCTGAACTACATAGTGAGACCTGGCTCAAAAAGATTTTCTTCACATCTTGGCATTCTGTCCTCTCTTCATTTCCATCTTTGTGCAGATGTTGCCTCACAGAGAAGACTGCCCCAAGTGCACCCCTGAAATTCCCATCCCACCCCTTCCAAACTCTGCCCCTCACATGCCTTGATGTGTCTGCCTTGCTTGTTTTTGGAGATGAAAACCAGGGCCTTGCCTATGCCAGGCAAGCTCTGCCCTGCACTGCATCCCCAGCCCTTCTTCTTTGTAAATTTATCTCTTGTTTTGTTTTGTTTTTTGAGACAGAATCTCACTATGTAGCCCAGGCTGGCCTCCAACTTGTCTGGACCCTCCTGACTCAGCCTCCTAAGTGCTGGGGTTACAGATGTGGACCACATACAGCACTTGCCTAGCATGGTTGGGGGCCTGGGTTACATCCCCCAAACTGCAAAAACATATATCAAAATACACCTGTAGCCCAGCTACTCAGGAGGCTGACAGGACTCCCTCCTTGAGCCCAGTTCAGGGACAGCTGGGGTGACACAGACTTGTCTCAAAGATAGACAGACAGATAAAACCAAATAGCTCCTGAATGAATAGATGAGGGGAATGAACCAGGGATCATAGAGTATGGCAAAAAAATTTTTTTGCGGGGGGTGATTCTGGGGATTGAAATTAGGACCTTCCACTGAGCTGCATTCCCAGCCCCCCTCTTTCTTTTTTGGTTTTTTGAGACAGGGTCTTGCTAATGTAACTCAGGCTGGCCTTGAACTTACTGTGTAACCCAGGCTGGCCTTCGGAGTGCTGGGATTACAGGCAAGTGCTATCATGCCTGGCCCTCCCCCAGCCCTTTTAAAATTTTGCTACATGATCTCGCTAAGTCACTAGGTTGCCCTATTCTGTGATCCTTCTGCTGCAGCCTCCTGAGTCCTGGGATTATAAGTGTGTGCCACTATGCTAGGTCAGGGTTCAGATTTTTAGTGCTGTTGAACCTGATGGGGGGTGTCCAGCAAGCACATGGATTTCCAACTTCACCCCCAGGACAGTGAGACCATGGTTAATTCTTACCAAGGTGGAACTGAATGAAGTTGTGATTCTTCGGCTAAAGCTCTTTGCAAACCCAGTGAACACCAGCAGGGATCAGAGAAAGAAATGGGGTAGATTTATCTGACAACAGAACTAGATGCAGCAACATAAATACATCAGAGCTTTTTTCTTTTCCTTTTTTTTAAATTTTGAGACAGGGTCTATGTATTCCAGGCTGGCCTTGAACTCACTAGGTACCTCAAGTTGGCCTGGAACTTGCAGCAATCCTCCTGCCTCGGCTTCCCAAGTGCCAGAATTATGGGAGTGCACCCCCAGGCTGGGTTAATAAAGCTATCTCAAAAAATAGTGGGTGAGTCAGGTGTGGAACCTCACGCCTGTAATTCCAGTATGCTGAGAGGCTGAGGCAGGAGGATTTGCAAGTTTGAGCCCAGCCTAGGAAATTTAGTGACTTAGTGAGACCTGGTTTCAAAATAAAAAATGAAAAGGGCTGGTGATGGTGCTCAGTGTGAAGGCCCTGGGTTCAATCCCCAGTACTGTGGTGTGGGAAGAGCAAGAGGTAAAGTCTGGAAACAGGCATGTTGAGGCACAGACTGCAAGCCTGTCGCCAAACCCTGTGCACTGATACTGAGAGCTCTGGCGGTCACATCTCTGCTCTGTGCCTCATCTGTTAAAAGGATGATAACAGCCTCTGGCTCATAGAGTTACTGCAAGGCTTAAATGAATTTTGTGTGTGTTTTGTTTTATTAATTTTTAAATTTTATTCCATTTCCCCCTCAAGTTCCCTCCCTTCCCTATGTACAAAAGCTTTGTTTCCATTTTTTCCTTCTATTTTCATGTTTTAATTTTTTTTTGGTACTGGGAATCGAACTCAGGACCTTCTGCTTGCCAGGCAGGCACATTGCCACTGAGCTAAATCCTTGGCCCTTAAATGAATTTTTCGGGGGGGGAGATATTTGGGATTGAGCACAGGGACTGCTAAGCTATACCCCTAGCCCTTTTTTAAAAAATTTTTTTACTTTATTATTATTATTTTTGGTACTGGGAATTGAAAGGATCTTGTGCTTGCAAGGCAGGTGCGGTGCCACTGAGCTATATCCCCGGCCCAGCTCTTTTTATTTTTGAGACAGTCTCCCTAAATTGCCCAGATTGGCCTCAAACTTGTGATCCTCCTGCCTCAGCCTCTCAGAGTGCTGAGATTACAGGTGTGTATTCAATTTTATACAATCTGGAATCATCAGTATGTGGTTTTGGGGGCTGACTCTTTTCATGCAACATGTTTTGTTTTAAACTGAGATAAAATTCACAGACTACACAATTTACCCTTTTCAATGTGCATGATTCAGTGGGTTGTTTTTTTTTTTTACTATATTTAGAGAAGATGTTGGGTTTGAGATCCATCCATAATGTCACATGTAGCAACAGTTTCTTTTTATTTCTAGCAGTGCTGTCATTCCACAATTGAGGGGAATTGGTTCCAGGACCCACTCCTTAACAAAATCTATCCATGAAGCCAGGCATGGTGGCCCATGCTGGTGATCCTTGCATTCTGGGAGGCTGAGGCAGGAGGATTACAAGTTTAAACCCAGCCTGGGCAATTTAGCAAGACCTTGTCTCAAAACGAAACATAAAAAGGGTTGAGAATGGAGCTCACTATGAAGGCCTTGGGTTCCAACCCCTGGAAAGAAAGAAAAGAGAAGAGAGCCCAATCACTTCCTGGCCTTTTGGCTAGGGAGTTCCAAGAACTCCCTTTCCTCAAGGGGGGCTCCTGGCCGCCTGCCCGAGGCAGAGCATGAGAATGTGGCTGCCTCTTCAGCCCTGGTCACCATCACTTTCTTTTTAGCTCTTTGGGTGGGTGTGTTTGAAGTTTTTTCTATCTTAAAACATTCTGATGAGAATTAAGCCAGAATGACAAATGTTCACATTTGCTAATCTGGGGTGGCGAGTGTATTTTAGGAGGCTCTGATCTTTTCTGTAGTTGAAGTTTAATACTTTTATATTTGGAGTTGTGTTTGGAAAGGGGAAGCTCCTGTCTGGCTGCATGGATGGTGAATGCCAGAAGTGCTGTCCTGTTCCCCTGACCCCTCAACAGGATGTCCTGGTTCTGGTGATCTCATGATCCACGGTCATTGTCTCCACCCATGGCTTCTCTCTCCCAAGGGACTGGTGAAGGCTCCAGGCTGCCCAGATACCTGGCTTAGTCTCTCGCCCCCTCAGGGTGCAGCCTTAAGGAAGGGGGTGAGGGCTAGGGTGCAGCTCAGTGGTGAGCACTGGTCTAGCACACATGGGGCCCTGGGTTCCATTCCCAGCACTGGAAAACAAAAAGATAAAATGCTGCAATTAAGATAGTGGGTTTTTTTTTTTGCAGGGCATGGTGGTACACCCCTGTAATCCCAGCACTTGGGAGCCTGAGGCAGGAGGATTGCAAGTTTGAGGCCAGCCTGGGCTACATAGTGAGTTTTCTTGGTTTTCTTTGGGTACTGGGGATCAAACTTGGGACCTTGGGCTCACGAAGCAGGCGTCGGAACCACTGAACTAAATCCCTGGCCCTACATAGTGAGTTTGAGGCCAGCCTGAACTACATAGCGAGGCCATCTCAAAAAAACAAAAACAAAATTTGGTTTTTTTTGGTACCGGAGATTGAACTCTGGTCCTTGTGCCTGCGCAGCAGGCGGCGAAACCACTGAGCTAAATCCCTGGCCCTAAAAAAAATTTTTTTTGTCTTTTAAAAAATGTTTTGGGGGCCAGGGATTTAGCTCAGTGGTTTTGCCGTCTGCTGCGCAAGCGCAAGGACCCAAGTTCGATCCCTGGTACCAAAAAATAAATAAATAAATAAATAAATAAATAAATAAAATGTTTTGGTACTAGGGATGGAAACCAAAGCTTCCCTCCTGAGCTACATCCCCAACCCCTTTTATTTTTATGTTGAGACAGGGTCTCAGTAAGTCCCTAATTGTCCAGATTGGGCTTGGTTTTGCGATCCCTCTGCCTCAGTCTCCCAGAGTGCTGGGATAACAGCCATGCCCAGCTGAACTACTGTTTTTCTTTGGGGTTTTTTTGGTTTTTTTGAGACAAGGTCTTGCTCTGTAATTCAAGCTGGCCTTGAACTCATTATGGCCTCGAACTTTAGGCAATCCTGCTTCAACCTCCTGAGTTGCTAATGTGCACCACCAGCTACTGTTTCTCTGTAGACTGACTTTTTGGCAGCCCCTTATTTTTGCCCATTGCCAGTGCCTATTTTGCCCCACCCTCTCCCCAAAGGGTGTGTTTATATACAGTGCTGAGGATGGAGCCCAGGGCCTGGGCAGGCTGGGCAAGTGCTCTACCACAGTGCCATATCCCCAGCCTGCTTCCTGCACCCCTTCCTGGCCCCACTGGGCACCCAGGAGGAGCAAAGCATTTGACCATCCACATTATACACAGAATCTGAGTAGGACGGCAAGCCTCCTTCCGGTCGCTTGACAACTAACTTCATTTGGTTTTCTGGCTGAAGTTAGCTGTCTAGTGACTTCAACTCTGAGTTTGGTGTCTGACCCTTGGACTCAAGGTCACTTATACTAAAAACAACCTGCATGCTAGATCCACTTTGGAAAACAGTGGAGGAGTTGGGTTCCATGGTGCACATCTGGAATCCCAGCAGCTTGGGAGGCTAAGGCAGGGGGATCTCAAATTTGAGGCCACAGCCTGGGCATTTAACAAGACCCTATCTCAATTTAAAAAATATAATTTTGGAAAAAGGGCTTAGAGCTGGGTGTGGTGGCGCATGCCTATAATCCCAGCACTCGGGAGGCTGAGGCAGGATGACTGTTGTTGAGTTCAAGGCAAACCTGGACTAATATAGCAACACCCTGTCTCAAAAAAAAAAAAAAAAAATCAATCAAGGCCTGAGGATGGAGCTCAGTGGTAAAGCACCCTTGGGTTTGATTCCCCAGTACCATAACCAAAACACTAGAGGAAGGTACCCGGGGCTGAGGGAGACAGGAATGGTGCATCAGGGTCATCCTATTTACAACTGACCTTCATGCTCTCCAAATCTCCACCTCAATGCACAGCTAAGAAAAGACTGCCAAGACCAGGTGCAAGGATAAGGAGTAAGTGGAACTTTCACAGGGTGCCAGTCCCAGTTACAATCCAGTAAAGCTGAACACATGACTGTTGGCTCACCTGTCCTGTCCCTAGGTATTTACTTTAGAGAAAGGATTACTTATGTTCACCAAAATACTTGTGCAAGCTTTAACAGTGGCCAAGCTGGGAATAATAGGCTGAGGCAGGATTGCCTATGACCAGGGGTTCAGACCAGGTCTCAAAAACAAAAAAGCAAGCCCTGTGCTCTGGTGGACATCTGTAATTCCAGCTGCTGGGGAGGCTGAGGCAGGAGGAATACAGGTTCCAGGGCAGCCTGGGTAACTCAGTAAGACCCGGTCTCAAAATAAAATTTTATTTCTGGGCCGGGGATTTAGCTCAGTGGTTTTGCCACCCGCTGCCCAAGCGCAAGTTCGATTCCCCGTGACAAAAAAAAAAAAAATGTTTATTTTTTTTTTGGAGGGGGTCAAGGTCTCACTATGTAATTCAGGCTGGCCTCAAAATTATGGAGATCCTCTTTCCTCGGCCCCCTGAAGACTGGTATTACAGGCATTTGTACTACACCCAGCTCAAAATAAAACTTTAAAAAGGTCTGGAAACGTAGCTCAGTGGTAGAGTGCCTACTGGATTCATCCCCAGTGCCCTCCACAAACAAAACAAAACAAAACAAAAAAAAACCCACAAAGAAAAAAGAAAGAGCAAATGAGGGAAACTCAAGTCTCAAAAGCCAAAAAAAGAGGCTGAAGGTGTAGTTGGGTGGTAGAGGGCCTGCCTGGTATGCACTAGGGCCATGGCTTCAATCCCCAGCACTACAAAAACAAAAACAAAACTGACTAAACATGTTCTGGTTGTGGTGACCACTCCTGTAATCCCAGCACTCTGGAGGCTGGGACAGGAGGATTATAAATTTGAGTCCAGTCTGGGCAAATTAGTGATTTAGTGAGACCTTGTTTTTTAAAAAAAAAAATGGCCATGGGCTGGGGATTTAGCTGTGGTTCTGCCGCCTGCCTCGCAAGTGCAAGGTCCCTACTTTGATCCCTGTTCAAAAAAAAAAAAAAAAAAGGCCAAACAACCAATTAATCAACCGGTGAATGGAGAAACTCTATTGGCTATATTGTGATATGGCGGCATAGTGTAATACCAATTGGCAAGAAAAGAACAAATGATTGATATGACCAGAAATAGGGATTAATATAAAAAAGCTTTTTAAAAAACTAAGGTACAGTATAGCAGTCACTTCAAACTGCCTTATTTCCTCAGAGCTCTTTCAAAGAGCTCTTCACGGTGGGGGACCTGGAGCTGGGTGTTGATGTCATCTCTAAGAGCTATGGTCACAGCCAAAAGCACATTTCAAAAAGCTGGGCAAGCCGAGTGCAGCATTCTGAGAGGCTGAGGCAGGAGGATTCCAAGTTCCAGCTCAGTCCGGGCATTTTAGCGAGACTGTTTCAAAATAAAATTAGAGTTCCGTGTGTGGTGGCACACGCCTGTAATCCCAGCACTCGAGAGGCTGAGGTAGGAGGATTGCTGTGAGTTCATGGCCAGCCTGAACTACGTAGTGTGTTCAAGGCCAGCCTGAACTAGGTAGTGAGACCTTTTCGAAAAACCAAAAAAAAAAAAGAAATAATTTAGAAACAAAACAGTTGGGGATGTGGCTCAGAGCAAAGGCCCTGCGTTCATTACCCAGTATCAAAATAACAACCAAACAGACTTTTGTTCACTAAGTGATTGATATAACAGTAATAAAAATGTTTCATGAGTGTTTAAAAAACAACCCCGACCAACGAAACAAACCTGCCGCGGACAAACAGCTGGCCTTTAATTGCCAATAATAAAGATGGCGGCGGGCGGGGGTTGTGTGGGGGGTGGGTGGGTGTGGGGTGTGTGTGTGGGGGGGGTGTACTTAATCTAAATCACGTGATAAAATGTGAGTCGTCGCTCAGTGGGGGGGCACGCCTACTTTTAGATTAACCAATGAAAGTCAGGCATTAGGCATGCCCTCTTTTCCTTTCTTCACCAATAGTCTCCAGATACCTTCCACTGAGTCCAATCACACTTCCGCCTCTCCTGAATGACAACCCAGCAGTCCAGTGAGCGAAAACTACAGCGGGGATTTAGGAGGCAGGAAACGCGGCCTTTAGAGTGCCGGCGCGCGACGGATAACCGGCGTTGGGCGCCACTTCTGGTAGCACGCGGAGGCGAACGAGAAACCAGGTGAGCAGCAGGTCTCGGGCGCTGGACCGCGGTGTGGAGAGGTCGGAGCGGCTGGTGAGCGGTTGAGGGGATACAGCGTTGGAAAATGGGTACCGGGAGGTGGGGGCGCGGGACGGGGGCGGGGTGGTTGGGGTGCCCGGCGCGCGCTGTGTCGGCCGTTGGGCGCCGCGGCGCATGCGCCACTGCGGGCGGGCGGACTGAGCGCAGGGCGCCTGGCTCGCTTCCGGGAGGGGCATCGTGGCGCCTCACGGTCGGCTCCTGGCCTGAATGGGGACCGGACCTCGGGGTGGCACCGGGGTTAGGGCCGCAAGGGAGAAGCCAGAGCTTCCTGACGGGGCGGGCTGCCCTTTCCCCAAGTTTCCTTGGTCTGGTCTTTTGTTTAGGGGTTTCTGATTTCAGCGACCTGGGGCAAAACAACCCTGTTCCGGAAACAGGAGCTCCTGGTAGGGAGCAGACCCCAAGGCAGAAGGCCACCCCGGGGACACTGGAGGGCGATAGATGTACGGGGCTGGCCTGCCCTGTCACTTAGCCTGGTGATAGCCTCCAAGTTCCTGGGCTGCTGGGGCCTCCTCTGTCGCAGAGTGGCCACCCAGCCCTCTTTCTGCTTTAATTTGTTTTGAGCTTTAGGTCCTAGCCAGCCACCTACTGGATTTTTCTTTATTACTTTTTGTGCTGGGTATAGGACCCAGGGCCTCTTGCATGCTAGGAAAGCGTTCTGCCACTGAAAATTTTGTGCCTCAAACCTTTCTCCCCACCAGCACGAAAGATCTTCGTTGAGTCTCTTTCATACCTTTGAACCGATACCCTGTTAGGGCTGGAGTACTGAAGCACACATGCTTGTAATCCTAACAGTCTGGGATGCTGAAGCAGGAGGATTGCCGTGAGTTCAAAGCCAGCCTGGGCTGCATAGTGAGTTCAGAACTACAGGGCCAGCCAGAACTACAGCAAGACCTTGTCTCAAAAAACCCAAACCAAAAAAAAATTAAAAAGGTGGTCGATGTAGCTCAATGCAAAGACTATGTATGGGCTCAGTCCCCAGTACTGCAAAAGTAAACTTCCTTGGTCACCTTGGAGCCTAGGTCGATGACTGGGTCTTCACTGTGGATCCACCCAGGGCATGGCCCAACCTGTTTAATGCTCCTTTCTTTCCCCTACATTGTGCCCTCCTTAATTCCCTTTGATTTCCTGATTTTCTTTTTTAAAAATTTTTTTTGAGACAGGGTCTTGCTTTGATGTTCAGGCTGGCCCTGAACTCAACAGTGTAGCCCAGGCTGACCTCAGTCTCACAGTAATCCTCCTGCCTCAGCCTCCTGAGTGCTGGGATGATAGGCATGCACCACCATGCCTGGCCTGACTGGTTTTCTTTGTGTTTGTCCCATCTTACACTCCATCTCTGGAGTAAATTAGTCTTGGGCAAGTCGTGGGGGTGTGTGTGGTTTTTTTTTGGTACCGGGGGATCGTGGTGTCACAGAGCTAATCCCCAGCACAAGGACTGTTCCCTCTCGGTTGGTCTTTTTTTCTTTGGTGCTTGAGAAATGAGCCCTTCCTGTTTTTCTGCCAGTAAGAATCCTCAGGCCTGGTGAGAGATTGTGCCTTTCCAGAGATCCGAAGACTGAAACTCAGCTTTAAGGCCTAGATTCTAGTTCATTCATTTAACCAGTGCTGTCCAGCATGTATCTACTCCGTACCAGGTTCTGCTTCAGATACAGGGCAGGGCTGAGTGATGGGGGAGCTTCTCAAGTTTGGGTTCGTACCATCCAGGTATCAGGAGCAGCAAGTGAAGGTGAGGAGGTGCAGCAAAGCCAGTGAGGAAGGAACAGGAAGACATGGTCTGAGTGTAGAGGGGTCAGATCATGAAGGGCCTGGTGGACAGTGTTGTGGACCTGGGTTTTCTTGCCACAGTGGGAGCCTATGCAGGGCTTTTCTCCTCAGTACTGGGATTGTATCCAGGGGTAATATACCACTGAGCTACATCCCAGCTCTTTTTCTAGGTTTTTTTTTTTTTTTTTTTTTGAGACAGGGTCTCACTGTGCAGTTCAGGCTGGCCTTGAAATTGCAGCAATCCTCCAGCCTCAGCCTCCCTAATGCTGGGATTACAGGCATGTACCACCATGCCTGGCTTCTTTTTTCTTTTTCTTTAAGACAGTTGCTACGCAGTTTAGCTTTCCTTGAGCTCATTATGTAGCCCAGGCTGGCCTCAAAAGATGATCCTCCTGCCTCATGCACCACTACGCCCAGCTCATTGGTTGGTTTTGAGCAGGGGCAGTGCCATGCCATGTCCCATCTGACTTTGATTGATTGATTTGCAGTACAGGGGTTGAACCAGGGCCTTTGGACTGAGCTATATCTCCGGGCCTTTTTTAAATTTTTTGTTTTGAGACAAAGTCTCACTAAATTGCCCAGGCTGGGCTTGAACTTTTAGTTCTCCTAAATCAGCCTCTGGAGTGTTGGGATTACAGGCAGGTACCACCACACTCAGCTCTGACTTAGCTCTAATAGGCTCCCATTGGCTGCTGTGGATAGAAGGGTGGAGGATGGGAACAGGGAGCTAGGGAGGGAAGATGGGTAAAACGATTGCTGGCACCCAAGTTACAAAATGCACTATGCTCCCATGAGGGACTATAAATTGGCCATGAAAAGAATGGAGCAGCCCTGATCCATGCTATAATGTAAGGGAACCTCAAAATTGTGATGAAGAGGGGCCGGGGATTTAGCTCAGTGGTTCCAGCGCCTGCCTGGCAAGTGCAAGGTCCCAAGTTTATTAATTTTTTTTTTTGGTACCAGGGATCAAACGTGGGACCTTGCACTTGTGAGGCAGGCACCGAAAATTTTATTTTTTTTTTTTTTTTTTTTTTTGGTACTGGGGATTGAACTCGGGTCCTTGCACTTGCAAGGCAGGCAGCGGAACCACTGAGCTAAATCCCTGGCCCCCCAAGTTTGATCTTCGGTACCAAAGAAAAATTATGATGAAGAATGAGAAAAGCTAGGCACAGGCCACATGGTGGGTGATATTCCTCACGAGGTCTAGCACAGGCACATCTGTAGAGACAGAAATCAGATGGTTCTAGGGATGTGGGTGATAACTAAAGGGTGCAGAAACTTATTTCTGAGGCAATGAAAACTAGCTGTGGTGGTGATTGCCCATGTCTGACTGCACTAAGATCCACCGAATCCTATGCTGTGCTTGATGAATTGTAAACCATGTGAATATTTCAGCAGAGCTGTTGTATTTAAAAAGAAAAGGAAGGTGGTAGCAGCTCGGGGCCAGTGTGGCAGCACATGTGACAAGTGGCCAGATGGACCTAGATGGCCTAGTGGGTGAGATTTGCTGGCCAATTGGATGTGGGGGTGAGAAAGGGAAGACAGCATGAGGATGGGGTTGCAGTGTCTGAGGTGGAGCGCAGGCCTGTGGGGAGAGATGTGGAGGATGCAGCCTGGTGAGAAACTTGGTCGGGAGTTGAGGGGAGAGATGGGCTAGAGATGGAGTTGGGGCATCAGTGCAGCAATGGTTAAAACCTTAGGGCTGGGGAAGGTGACAGAATGAGTGACAAGAGGGCCAAATCCTGGGTTTAAGAGCCTCAGGTCAAAGCTGGGGGATAGGAGACTAGAGAGCTGGATTGGTCCCTAGCTTTCTGTGTATGGGAGGGGGTGGGGCACCTCATGCTTAATTCCATTTGCCATCTCTATTTCTCCTACCGGCCCATAGGGAGGCTTTTCAAGAAGGCACTTAATTACTCCCCTGTGTAGACCACAAGGAGCAGGGAAATGGGGCTGGGCCACGTGGCCTGCTCTGCATACACTCCCTTCCCTTTGGCTCCCAGCAGCCACCCTGTAGGGACCCATGCAGGCATAGGGATGGGGCAGGAGATTCTCTAGTGTGGGGATCTGGGAAGTTCTTAGACTGAGGCTCGGGTGTCAGGAAGGACGCATGTGCAATCCTGGAGCAGAGCATTCTCTAGGGCAGCAGCCATGCTCTGAGGCTTGGGGCTTCCTCCACCTGAGCAGCTGGAGGGGGAGGGAGTGGCAGGGGCCAGACTAGGGCACTGGGAGGAATTGATTGGTAGGGAGCTGGGGATGGGAGCCTAGGGGCTCTTGCATGCCAGGCCAGCGCCTAGCACTGAGCCACGTCCTGCTGTGCTGAGGAACAGGGATTTCCCAAGTGGCATGGGGTCAAGTGTGGACCTGGGGACAGACACTGGCTGGACGAGTGGGCTGATATTGGGACAGTAGTTCAAGCTGGGAGGGCTTGAACACCAGAGCTGGTGGCTGGAGCAGAGGGAGGAGAGAATGACACACAGTTGCAGCGTCAGTTTGCTCTGCCTCCTGGGCCTGTGTTGCCTCTTCCCTGGGTGGGTGGCTTTTCCTGCTTGCGCCCCAGTTGCTGCCTTTAGCTCTTCCTTCCTCTGTTCTGTTCTCAGCACCATGGCAGAACAGGATGTGGAAAATGAGCTTCTGGATTATGAGGAAGATGAAGAGCCCCAGGCTCCTCCCGAGAGCACCCCCACGCTCCCCAAGAAAGACGTGAAGGGCTCCTACGTGTCTATTCACAGCTCTGGCTTCCGAGATTTCCTGCTGAAGCCGGAGCTCCTGAGGGCCATTGTGGACTGTGGCTTTGAGCACCCCTCAGAGGGTACGCCTCCCCGTGGCCCTGCCTGGTCTGCGCCTTACACCAGTTCTGCCCGCCTATGGCATAACCTGTGGTACCCACATTACTTTCTATAGCAGGGCTCTGCTCCATGGAGCTGGAGGCTGTGGCCTGGCCTCAGAGTTCCTGACCCCATCTCCAGGGCCTTGGTCACCCTGCCAGGCCTCTGCCACTCACAAGCACTTTCTCCTGCAGTTCAGCATGAGTGCATCCCCCAGGCCATCCTGGGGATGGACGTCCTGTGCCAGGCCAAGTCTGGGATGGGCAAGACGGCAGTCTTCGTTCTGGCCACCCTGCAGCAGATTGAGCCTGTCAATGGCCAGGTGGGTGCTTTCCTCACAGGCCCAGCCACAGTGGCGGCAGATCTGTGCTCTCCCTTGGTGATGTTCCTGCTCCCATGCTATGGTCTCTGACATCAGGAAATACTGAAAAACCAGAAGAACGTCAAGTGCTGGTAGCTTACTGCCAGAGATAGGGGTTGTTTGCTCCCTGGTGTATTTCTTTGATGGGTTTAGGGATCGAGACCAGGGCCTTTGCTTTGAATTACATGCCCAGCCCTGTATGTTTATGGTTCTGGGGATTGGACCTAGCAAGAGTCTTTGCACCCCAGGCTGAGCTGGAATTTGGAATCCTCCTGCCACAGCCTCTAGAGTGCTGGGATTACAGTTGTGGGCCAGGATGCTGGTCTGAGATCATGTGCTTTCTGAAGGAGTTACAGGGACTGTTATCAGCATTGTATTCCACCATCTCAGGAGAACTGTGGGGGCTGAAAACACAGCTCAGTGGTAACCTTGTGCATGGTGTTGAGTTCCATGCCTAGCACCAAAAAAAAAAAGTCATGCTGGGTTTGCATCCCTTCTCAAGGTAGATCATGATGGCTGGGGCTTAATCGATAGCTCTGGCATGGCCCTGATGTCGGGCAGCCTGCAGGAAGGGGCAGGGAGATCTGGCATGGGGCCTGTGGCACATTGGCCAGGCAAGTCTAACAATAACTGCCAGCCTGTCCTCCATTGCTGGCCTTGCTGCAGGTCCTGTGTCAGGGCATCGGCATGGCACTGGGACTGGGCCTTTGTGGCCCGGTTGCCCTGGCAGGTTGGGGACTGGATGGGGGTGGATTTGGGACCCCAACCACCAGGATGCTGTCTCCTGCTCACTCCCAGGTGTCAGTCCTGGTTATGTGTCACACGAGGGAGCTGGCCTTCCAGATCAGCAAGGAGTATGAGCGCTTCTCCAAGTACATGCCCAACGTCAAGGTGAGCCCTGGGCCACTGGGTGCCGCCTTGGCCCTGGCCCAGCAGCATTTACCAAGCTTGGCCAGAGCTGCTGCCTTTGAGGTTTGTGGTGGTTTATGTTCCTTCAGAACAAGATGAATTATGCATGGCCCCAGGGGCCTGTCCCGGTCTCAGCTTAGGCTGCCTTTCCATGGCACTGGGCTTACAGGCCTTCCTGGTTCTGAGGGATCTGGGCTGGGTGTGGGTGCTGTTGGGGGCCACCATGCCTGGGGTGTCAGTATGTTGTGGGGTGCACACCTGCAGCTCCACATCTTTTGTGTCCGTAGGTGTCTGTGTTCTTTGGGGGCCTCTCCATCAAGAAGGATGAAGACGTTCTGAAGAGAAACTGTCCTCACGTCGTGGTGGGGACCCCAGGTCGGATTCTGGCGCTTGTGCGGAACAGGAGCCTCAACCTGAAGAATGTGAAGCACTTTGTGCTTGACGAGTGTGACAAGATGTTGGAGCAGCTGGGTGAGTGTCCCTGTCGGACATTCATGTGTGCCAGGGCCACTGCCCCACCCAGACCCCAGAGCTAGTCTAGGGGTGCCCCTGTAGGCTACAAGCCCCACCATGGGTCGTACAGGCAGCCAGAGCACAGGTCTTCTGTTGCTGACTTAGGGAAGGCTCTGGTTTTGGCCACAGATGTGCTACCCACAGGCCCGAGCTGAGCAGGACTACACAGCCCAGAGGAACCATTGGCTCTTGGTGGTGCATAGGCCCCAGTGAGCCTGCAGGTGGTGGGAGACGGGTGTGTCCCACAAGGTGGACCCCTCACCTAGTGGCTTCTCTGCCTCAGGCTCCCCTTCCCGAAGCGTGGCTCGAGGCGCAGTGGCCCAGATGCCTGCGCAGGCCATGTAAGTGGACCGCAGCTACTCTCGCGCCTGCGCTCCCTGCCCGAGTCCAGCCCCTCAGGCACCAGAATTCACTCTTCTCACGCCACACCTGGTCACCCTGCTAGCATTGTCCTGGCATGGGCCGGGAGGGTCTGGGCTGTCTTGGTGGGGATTATAGTCTGGCAGGCACTCACGTCCCTGTTCCTTGCTCTGTGCAGACATGAGGCGGGACGTGCAGGAGATCTTCCGCCTGACACCCCACGAGAAGCAGTGCATGATGTTCAGTGCTACCCTGAGCAAGGAGATTCGGCCAGTCTGCAGGAAGTTCATGCAGGATGTGAGTAGGGTGACACCCGCCCGCCCGCCCGCAATGGCCACGACCTCAGTGCAGCAGCTTCAGCCTTCCCCAGGGGCCTGGGCCGAGCCACGAAGCCCATACTGCCCTCATGGCACGGAGGATGCTGGGAGGCTGCGGAGGTGCCCACCTTTACGTTTTGTCTTGCTGGGAGCCGAGCGTGGTCCATGTCTGTGCTGACCCGAGCCTCCGTCCAGCTTTGGTAGAGTGCCGTGTGGAGGTTGGGCAACACAGGCTCTCTGGGAAGCACCGTCAGAAGGAGCCCCTGGCTGCAAGGTTCTGGGCAGGCACCACACCCCTGAGTGAGCCCTGCGCATCCCTCCTGCTTCCCTCCTACACAGCCCATGGAGGTGTTTGTAGACGATGAGACCAAGCTCACGCTGCATGGCCTGCAGCAGTACTATGTGAAGCTCAAGGACAGCGAGAAGAACCGAAAGCTCTTCGATCTCCTGGATGTGTTGGAGTTCAACCAGGTGACACCCCATCCACCACATGCCTAGGTTGCGAGGTCCCAAGAGTGGCACTGGCCTGACCACATCCCTCCCTGCAGGTGGTGATCTTTGTGAAGTCGGTGCAGCGCTGCATGGCCCTGGCCCAGCTTCTGGTGGAGCAGAACTTCCCAGCCATCGCCATTCACCGAGGCATGGCACAGGAGGAGCGGTGAGTGCTGGCTTGCTGCATGGCCATGGAGCAGTACCCAGGACTTTGAGCTGGGACCTGTGTGTGATGGCCTCCTTTTATCTCTCCTCACCCAGCCTGTCACGTTATCAGCAATTCAAGGACTTCCAGCGGCGGATCCTGGTGGCCACCAATCTATTTGGCCGAGGGATGGACATTGAGCGTGTCAACATCGTCTTCAACTATGACATGCCCGAAGACTCAGACACATACTTGCATCGGGTGAGGGGACCACAGGCTGGCCTCCCACGACAGCCCCCCCAGGAAGCAGCAGGATGGGCACTGGGCCTGCTTTATTCACTGCCTGACCCCATCCTGTCTCCCTGCAGGTTGCCCGTGCAGGTCGCTTTGGTACCAAAGGCCTGGCCGTCACTTTCGTATCTGATGAGAATGATGCCAAAATTCTTAATGATGTCCAAGACCGATTTGAAGTGAATGTGGCTGAGCTTCCAGAAGAGATCGACATCTCCACATACAGTAAGTGGCTGGGACAGGGCCACCTTGGGCTCTGGGACAAAGACCTGCCCTCACTGCCTCCTTCTGTCTTTGCAGTTGAGCAGAGCCGGTAACCACACTCCTGGAAGGCTACCGCCACCCTGCCTCCTTTCCCTTGTGCATGTCCTCCTCCAGTGACAGACGACAGATGGGTGTCTCTTTTTACTGTTGAAAAGCTGTAGATTTGTGTAAGAATACATTTTTTATTATGGAATCCTGGCTCCCACTCTGTTTTTGTCTTTCAGTTGGTCCCCTACCAGTGTTTGTGGGTGCCACAGGCCAGGCCACAGAGCCCCTCCACCAGTGAGCAGCGCCACCTCATGTATCAGTGTGAAATTTATTTAAGTGTCAACACTGAAAGGTTTACAGATAAACAAAATAAAATATAACACAACAACAACCTTCAAAACATGAGGCCTATGCGCCCTGCTGTGGGCAGTGGCCTCTGTACCGTGAGCCTCAGCATGGCCAGCACTCTGGCCCTGACATGAGTCCTAGCTTAGGGAATTTGAGCCCAGACCCCTGGCCTTTCTGGTCTGGCAGCTGGTTGAGGGCAAAGGGGCAGGTCAAGGCAGGGCCAAGCCTGTCCCTGGCCTGGTCTGCCATACTAGGACACAGCTGGGGTATGACAGAGGCAGTCAGGAGCAGGTCCACTGGTTACTCCTGCGTGTTCTCAAGTTGAGCACAGTATAGCTGCTGTGCCTTGAGCATTGCATGCAGCCCGAGGTGCAGGACAGCAGCGGCGAGACAGGATAGGATGTTGGCAGCAGCACGCACAAGCTGCTGGCTGGAAGCCTGGCCTTCACATCCCGGACTCTGATGGCCTGAGGAACTAGGGGAGAGCAGCCATGAGGCCCAAGCTGCCTGGTGGTCCCTAGCACCCCTGTGTCCCAGGCTCAGCCCTTACCCGAGTCTGCTGGCTGCTTCCGCCAGTGGAGGAGGCAAATTCTGAGTACTTGTTCCCAGTGACTGTACAGGCCCACTTCCAGTACTCCTCTCGCACCTGCAGCCAGGACCAGGCCAGACTATGTCAGGGGACACACGCATACCCCCACACAGCCCCATGGTCCCTGCACCTCACCTTCTTGTTGAGCAGACAGTGCAACAGGTAGAGGAAGGCGCCCTGAAGGCAGTTGAGCACCGTGAACACGTAGGCCAGCACTGTGCTGTGCCAGCTCTCTGGGCTGAAGAGAAACAGGCCAAAGCCCCAGGTGCAGCCCAGCACAAAGAGCTGCGCCACAGCTGTGATGGTGACCATCCTGCGGGGGTGGAGGCAGTTGCAGTAAGGCAGGCGCAGAGGAGACCCCAGCCTCAGGCCACCCTCCTCACCTTGCTTTCCGCAATTTCTTCATGTCCGGATTGATCTCGGAAAACTTCTGTGTGAGCTTCCATACAGTGACCACGAAGATGACGACGTTGCACTGTGGGTACACACGGGTTAGTGGAGGGCAGAGATGCCAGTGAGGGGAGTGGGCGTAGGGGCACCTACCAAGATGACGAAGGCCAACGGTGCCAGGAAGCTCCAGAGGAAGCCCTGCTTCCGGTCCAGCCAGCAGCTGGGAGAGGGGGTGGTCAGTGAGTGAATTGAGAGATTCCCCAGCTGCACCGTCCCACCCTCCCTGACGTTCCACTCACTGGGTGGTGTGGCCATAGCCACTGCTGTTGGCCGCTGCTGAGATGGCCACGATGATCAGGGGTACGGTGTAACCGATCAGGCACTGCCAGCGCGTGGCCAGGCCCTGACCCTGGAACACGCGCACCACCAGGAAGTAGAGCTCCACGCCCTCCAGGCTCATCCAGCAGAATGCAGCCAAAAAGAAGTAGTGCAGCAACCCCGCCACTAGGCGGCAGCGCAGCCCTACCTGTGGGGGCGGTGGGGGTGGAGCTGTCAGGGGCGGGGCACATGCAGCCCAGCCAATCCCTTGCAGCAGTACCGGGAGGGTGGGGCCAGCCTCCGCACACCTACATGCCGAAGTGGGCAGGGTTGGGTGTGGCCTTGCGCCCTCAAGCGTGGAGAGTGGGAGTAGGATGGGGTGTGGACCTCGCCAGGTGTGAAAGGGCAGGGCTGCCCACTCCGGGCTGGCTGTTGGTCAGGTGGGAGTGAGGAGGGGCGGGGCCTACCTGGCCGCCTACATTCTCAATGCCCATCAGGAAGATGGCAGAGCCCAGAAAAAGGCAGATGCAGAGATGCAGATGCACTGTGGTGCGCGAGCTCTGGATGGGCCGCACTAGCACAAAGGTTAGGATGCACAGCATCAGGCAGACGAGTGACAGCGACAGCCCCACTTTGGTGATCAGGGACAGCTTCCAGTCCTAGGGCATTAGGTGGGCGGGTTCTATGGAGGCCTGGGCCTCCTGCCCCCGTCCTTTGTCCCCTGCTCCAAGGTGCACCTCACTGGCCTCCCCACCTGGCTGCCAGCCCAGGGAGCCTTGGGGGAAAGGTACTGGCGTGGTGGGCAGGCCGAGGCTGCAGTGCTGTCCAGGTGGTTCCCGGAGGCCCCAGTGCTCACCTCCACCTGGTAGTGGGCCATGAGGACAGCAAAGCTGCTCAGGTGGTCGCACTGGCAGGTGGTGCTGTTCTTCCCGCTCCCCAGCTTCCGGCAGCCTGTGGTGGCCCAGTGTCCATTCCTGCTGTTGTCACTCTTCCAGAAGGCGCAGATCAGCTCTGTCCCAGGCTCCTCCAGCTGTTGGGATACTGAGTCTTCAAAGTCTGGCCTGGAGCACCCCTGAGCTGCTTCTTCTTACACAGTGTCGTTTACTGAATGTCCTACGTGCACCAGGCTTAGGGACAGCTCAGTGAAAAGGGCAGACACAGATCCAGCCTGTGGGGCCATGACAGTGATGGGCACAGATCATAAACCTGACAATAAACTGGATACTGTGCTGGAAGGCAGTGAATGCCATGGGAAAAACAATACAGGAGGAGGCTGTGGTTCCAGGTTGTAAGTTGTTTTTGTTGTGCAGTGCTGAGGATTGGCTTGTGCATACTAGGCAAGTGCTCCACCAAAGAGCTGCACACCTACCCCTTTTACAATTTTAAGACAGGGTCTTGTAGAGTTGCCTAGGCTGGGCTCAAACCTGAAATCCCACCTCAGCCTCCCACGTGTTGGGATTACAGGTATGTGCCACCATACCCTGCTCAGGATGTAATTTTCAATGAGAAGTTGGGAAAGGGTGAATGAGAAGGTGGTATTTGAATAAATACTAAAAACATATAAAGGATTATACGACACAGGGGAAGAGGTTCCAGGCAGAGGAACACAGCAGTGCAGACTGGTTTATGCGTGAAATGGGCAGCAGGGCCCTTCCCTTCCCTCCTGGGGACTCACACGGTGGGAGAAAGCAAAGGTGACAGGGGAGGCCAGCTTGTCCGTGTCGGTGTTGCTCAGAAAGACGGAGTTGACAGCTGAGAGGAGTGTGCCCTGCACCCTGCGGACAGGTCTCTCGTGGGCCTCTGTCAGCTGTGCTAGCTTTTCGGGCTCCAGGGCCAGGGAAGCGTTGGCCAGCAGCTCCTCCATATGCTGGCTGGACAGGATCCCCACCACAGTGGGGTCTGGGGATGGACACGCTGCCACTGCACCTCGTGCCCTGGCACTCTGCACCCCACACTCCCACCCAAGGCGTCCCGGTTCTGGCCCCGTCCCTCCCACGATGGCTCAGTTTCTCCCAGGTCCAACCCTGTCCCTCTCCACCTCCTTCCCAGCCCTCACCTGAGTCCTCTGCTCCTGTTGCCACAGCCCAGTCCAGCAGCATCCTCGCGTGGCTCTGGCCCAAGGTGACATTTCCTTGGCCGTTCTCCGTGACCATCAGGGACAGCTCTGAGGGAAGGTGGCAGTGACTGGGGATACAGTCTGGGGTACAGACTGGGGCCGGGCTGAGCGGGGTGGACAGAGCCTCACCTGTGCTGGAGGGGGATGCGTAGGTGAAGCTGCCCTCAGGGAGGGCCTGGGCCAGGGACCTCAGGGTGTGCTCGAGGTCTGAGAGCAGCCAGGTGGCCACTAGGTGCTGGTCTTCCCGGGACAGGTTCTTTATGTCCCCAGGAACTTCCAGCAGCCCATCCATGGCCTCAAGGAGTTTCTGGGGGTGAGGAGTGGCAGAGATGTCAGGTTAGGGAACCACAGGCAGAAGGACCCAGCCCTTGACCGGCCCCACCGGGGACCCAGTCCTGGGGATCATCAGTGCCATGCAGTAGCCAGGCCACAAAGGACAACGAGCATGTGCCTGGGGCACGCAGGTCACAACAGCAGCCAGACTGGGTCTAACTGAGCTGTGCAGGAGTCACTGAGCTGGTCTGGCCACCGGTCTGGCCACAGGGCTCTTGGAAGGAGGCTGGACCTTCTCTGAGGGGTAATACGCATCAGAGAACAAACACTTAGTTTGAGCCGGGGACACTGGCGCATGCCTATGAGCCCCAGTGGTCAGGAGGCTGAGGCAGGAGGAGTTCAAGTTTGAGGCCAGCTGCGGCTACATAGTTCAAGGCCAGCCTGGGCTACATAGCATGATCTTGTCTCAAAAAACAAAAACAAAATCTTCACATTGATTATCAGTGAGGCACAATTTGATTTTCCTGCTGCGTTACAGATGAGGAAATGGGTCCAGAGAGGGGAAGTCTTTTGCCTGAACTCACACAGCAAGAAGTGGCACTGAGATTTGAACTCCATGGCCCAAATCTAGTTTTGTTTCTCCTTCCCATTACTAGGCATTGAATACAGGGCTTTTGCACTGAGCTACATCTCTACCCCCTTTTTATTTTGAGACAGGGTCTCCCTGAGTTAAGTAGCCCAGGCTGGGCTAGAATCTGAGATTCTCCTGTCTCAGCCTCTCTATTAGCTGAGATTACAAGGGTAGATATCACACCAGACCCCAATTCTGGTTCTTAACTGCTGCGGTCTACTGCCTTGATTACCCTCGTGTGTGTGTGTGTGTGTGTGTGTGTGTTTAACGGGCATATATGTGTCTGTATGTCTTGCACATGTGTCAGACTGGAAGGCCCACCTCAGTTGAGAGCTGTCTCCGCCCACACAGAGCCTCCCCCAGTCTCCCTTGTGCTGTCCTGGCTGCCCACCGGGTTCTGCCCTTACCTTAATGGTCTGCTTGGCCACTTGGGGCTTGAAGTCTTGACTCAGACTCTGGACTTTGTCAAAGAAGCGGAAGAGACTCTATGGGAGGGGACAGGGGCGTCAGACAACCTTGAGGGTTGGGGGAGTGCAGGGCAGAAGGGCAGGTACACATGAGGAGGGATTTCCACCCTCAGGCTGGGCTGCTTACCTTGCTGTGGATCCCAGGGGGTGGGGTCCAGGCAGGGAAGAGGATTTCTGCTGGGGACAGGACAGGGCTCATGAAGCTTAGAGTTCTGTGAAGGTCAGGTGGCAGGGATTCTAGCTAGGGCCAGGTCAGGCCAAGTACCTTTGCAAGAAGTGTTCTTTGGGCCATTGGAGTAACCAGGAATTGGCTTCCAACCCTGGCGGCAGCGGCACCTGTACGACCCCTGGGTGTTGACACAGACGGTGGAGTTGTGGCACTGATGCTGCCCAGAGCTGCACTCATCCACTTCTGGGGACACAAACAAGGGGATCAGGCCCTGTCCCAACCCAATCAAGATTCTGTCTCCTCCACATTCCCACCCCTTCTTCCAGACAGTAGTGCATGGCCTTGGCTGGAGATGCTGCCACCCGGTGACCACACACCCTTGGAGGGGCGGGCACTGGGTCAAGAGAAGTATGGAGAGGAGATGCATGCCGAAGGCTGGCCCTGTGCAGGTGTGCAGGTTGTGAAAACCCTGAAAGACTTTCCTCCCAGTTGGGAATTAGGTGCCGCCTGGGGTCCCCCAAGAGCCTCCCCATCAATTCTCCAGCCCCTTTCTGGGACCCTGGGGTCTTTTCTCATCCAGCCTCATCAGAAGACTAAGTGCCTGGCATACAGGGCACCTCCAGCACTGGTTCTGCTTGAGTAAATGAGCAATCAGGTATTTGGACTTTGGGTCTTGGGACTCGGTTTGTGGCATCTGAGCTCTGGACCTTCACAGACAGTGCTGTTGGGGCCGTTGGGGGATCCAGGAACCGGCTTCCAGCCGCGCCGGCACTTGCACATATAGCTGCCAACACTGTTGATGCAGTGGGTGGAGTTGTGGCATGGGTTCTGTTCAGGGGTGCATTCGTTCATATCTGGGGACAAAGCCAGGGGATCAGACCTGACCCAGACTGGCTCACACCTCCCCCCAACTCAGCACCCCCTGCCCATCTTGTCATTGCCCCAAACCAAGGCTCTTTCTTGCATGGGCCACCACTTGGTGACCTTCAGCATCACCTTTAGAGCACCCTGGCCTCCCTGTATGAGGGGCACAGTAGGGCATATCTTCAGTTTTGAAGAAGTGAAACTAGGAGGGAAACTGAATTGTGGCAGCTGGACTTCTGGCTCCTTCCATGGCCATGGCAGAGGCTGCCCTTCTCAGCACTGGAAGTGGCACTTACCTCCAGTCGTATGTGACAAATAAGGGGCGATGTCTGGGAGACTCTACAAGGGCCCCCTCGGGCCCCGAGTCCCCTCCCTCTTCTGAGAAGCACTGTGGGAACTGCCAATCTCCACCCTCCTCAGCTCAGGCTCTGCCTGGGCACCTGCCCAGCTCTGTTCAACCTAATGCGTCTTCCCTGGACCTCTACCTGTGCATCGCCTTGGGCCCTCTGGGCTGAACTTAAACCCTGGTGGACAGATACAGATGTAGTTGCCATTGTCGTCGACAAAGTAGCTATGGCCCTGGCAGACTTTTCGGTCCTGCATCCGCTGGCTCACATCTGGAAGGAGAGGAGGATGCTGCAGCTGTGGGCAGCTTCTGGGCTGGGAGTTGGCCAGGCTTCCTGGCACTGAAGCACATGGAGGTTTCCACCATTTCCTCCCTGGGCTGTGGTGCCTTTTCTAATTTTCAGAGGCATCCCACAGTCAGACTCTGGTGGCCCAGATTCTGTTGTCCAGATGTGGCCGGAAGCAGCTGAGGCCTTCCCAGCCACCAGCTCCAGAGCCCTCTGCTTCCCCAGGCAGCTCCCAGCAGGGGTGGTGTCATCACCATCACTTGTGTCCCAGCCTAAGGATTCAGAGCAGAGCCCAGCTGGGCCTCCCAAGACCGGAGAGCAGGGGAGACGCCCAAACTGGCTTGAAGCAGTGGCCTGTGGCCCTCATTCCACCAGGGCTGCTGTCCCATGCCCTCGAGCTCCTGGGAATTGTAGTGACCTCAGAGGACAGCATTGTTAGCCCCACCAATTCCACAGAACTCAAGCCCCCGCCCGAGGGGGGGGCGCTCAACTGCACGGACAGAGAGTGAGTACCACGATGTGGGCGGCAGGCTGCAGGATCCAGCCAGGTCCTCTCCATGATCCCCACGGAGGCGGGTGTTGACCACAATCTGCATTCCAGCCCTGTCCCACGTCCAGGAAGCAAGGACAAGGAGCAGGTGCCGATGGGGTAGGCAACAGGCTGTTCTGTCATCCCTATGTCCCCTTCCACCAGGATGCAGACTGGGATCTGGCTTCAGTCTCTGTCCCCTCCAAGCTGCCTTGTCACTGTGATCCAGACTCCAGCATTGTCCTCCACCCAACTCAGGCTGTTTGAGGCCTTGGTGCCACCCTGCCCACCCTGGCCCAGCTTCCTCCTGTGCCCAAAGCAGGACTGATGACTAGAGCTTCAGGGTGGGGACCTGGGCAGGATGGTGCAGGGACTGCTTGCCTACCCTCTGTCCTTCCTCCCAAGGGTGCAGACTGAGTCCCTGGGTCCATGGTGGCCGGGAGGTCAGGGAGGTTTCTAGGCATGGCTGAAACCGAAGTGGCAGGCGTCATCTGGGATATCGCTGAGAATGGGAGGAAGGTGCCAAGTTGGCTGAAATGTGCATGTGAGAGCTTTGCAGAGCATCCTGGGCACTACCCCTTTCAGTTTATGCAAATAGATGGCATGTTCTGATCTCCCAGAAGTAGAGGCTTCTGGGTCTTGGGGACCACACAGGGGACCAGGTATTCGGAGGGCCACATGACACCCAGAGAATAAAGTCCCAGCCATCGTGGGGCTGACATAGGCAGATGCGTCCTTCAGTGATGAGTTGGGGCCTCAGGTGATAGGTCCTGCTGTAGTCTAGCAGACTGCTCTGTGTCACATACTGTGGTGCTCATGGGATCTGGGTCACCTTGCCCCTGCCCATGCAATTCTGTGTCCAGCTGCCGCCGCCTGCCCATCTGCCTGGGCTTGTTTATAACAGCAGCATCAACAACCTCACCATCCTGTCCTGAGGCCCCACATCCTCACAGGCCATGCTGAGCATCCATGGTCTCCATGGACGGTTATACAGCTTATTCACTGCACAAGGTTATTGGTCCACGGGGGCTGAAACCACTCTTCACCCCATGCTATCTTCATTTCCTTGTGGAAAGGAGGGCCCCTTTCTTGATTCACCAGGAGTGCAGAGTGGATGGAGTGCCCCCATGCTGCAGGTCCCCTCTTCTGCCATCCTCTGCTGTCTGCACGTGTACGTGGCGGGAGGGACAGGCCTAGGACATGGGCTGGAGCTCTTCTTGGACCTCAGCTCAGCCTCAGCCTCCCTTCCCTGATCTCCAGACTCTGCATTAACCCCTCTCTGGGGAGTTCCAGCTTCCACACCCACCCCTGCCACCAGCCCCGAGGAACCAAGCCTGTGACAGGCAGGGCCAGGCTCCCCCTGGGCCTGACAATGGCATGTAGCTCTGCAGCCCCACTGATCTCGCCCCGAGGGTGCCTGTCTAGAAGTCAGATCCAAAGAGTCAAGCAGTCCACAAAACAAACAACAAAAACAAAAGAAGTCCACTGCAGCGAGCCCTTGCCAGCATGCCCAAGGCCCTGGGCTCCAGCTCCAGCTCCACAAGAGTAAATACATGAAGTTCTCAGGCTGTCCGAAACAGAGGATTCTCCATGGACCATGAGCGGTTAAACACCTTCGGATCTTATTTACCTTCTCAGCAATTCTATGAGGTAGGAGCCACCATTCCTCTTTCTATAGATGGGTAACCCAAGGCACAGAGAAGGCAAGTAACGGCCCATGGTCACACAATGAACAAAAACAAAGCTACTGTTGCCAGGCATGGTGGCACACCTGTAACCCCAGCACTAAGGAGGCTGAGGTAGGAGGATCCCAAGTTGGAGCCCAGCCTTGGAAACTTAATGACTTAGCAAGACCCTGTCTCAAGATTTTAAAAAGGGCTGGAGGTACAGCTCAGTCCCAGACCATGGGTTCAATCCCCAGTATTAAAAAAACAAACAAAGAGGGACTCCTTTTTCCTTCTTTTCCTCTCCTTTACACAAAATCACAGTATCATCACCAGATGTCACTTGACAAGGTTTCTGAGTGAGCCGTGGATGTCACTTGCACAGCAGGCAGAGAGCAGGTGGGACAGGGCCCTTGGCTCTGTACTCCCCTGCCAGTCTGTGCAGGTTAAGGTGCATGCACACCTGTCCCACCTCAGCCCTGTCACCAGGGCCCTGCCCTTGGCTGCTGCAGGGCCAGCTCTGGGGTCCCCGAACCTCAGGAAGGGGGGGAATGGGATGTTGGGAGGTCCTTACTCTGACACTCGTTCTCCTTTGCGTTGCTGAAAGTTTTTCTCCCAGAAGGGAGCACGTAACCCTCGCTGCACACACATACGTAGCTCCCCACTGTGTTCTTGCAGTCTGCAAATTCTCCACAGGTCATTTTTGTGGAAAGGGCACACTCGTTGATGTCTGGAACACAGAAGGACAAATAGTCAGCTCCCATCCCCTGCATAGGGCCCGATGTTGAGTTTGAATCATTTGAGAAGCCATGCTGCAGCTGGAGCAAGCCATTCCTAAAGCTCATGCAGTCTGCTCTGTTCATCTCGGGCCCCTGGCTGACACCCAGATTTGGACACTGGGCACCGTGACAAGGTGAGGGACAGGCAAAAAGCTCACCATCCCCCTCCCCAGTCCTAAAGACAACTCGAGGCACAGATTCATGGGGGTTGAGTGCTTCTCTCTCCAGGAAGCCACCTTCCTACTTTTTTTTTTCCTTCCTACTTCTTACTTTTCCATCTCTTCTTCCTCCTCTTTCCTCTTCTATTTGTGATACTGAGGATGCAACTCAAGGAGTACTGAGCTACCCCACCCCCCACCCCCCACCCCTTTTATTTTTTAATTTTTTGGAACCGGGGATCTAACTTGGGTCCTTGAGCTTGCAAGGCAGGCAGTGGAACCACTGAGCTAAATCCCCGGCCCCCACCCCTTTTAAATTTCTGTATTTTGAGACAAAATTTTGCTAAGTCACTAAGTTTGCCTAGGCAGGGCTCAAACTTGCAATCCTCCTGCCTCAGTATCTCAGGGTCCTAGGATGACAGGCGTGCATCACCATTAACAGCTCTCTGCTACAGAGACAGTCATGAGGTCAAGGGCTGTGCCTCCCAATTCTCCCTGTGTTCCCCTGCTGGGACCAGATGATACCCCCCCACCCCCCACCCCCGCCACCACTGTCCCCAAGCTTCTACCATCACAGCTCTCCAAGGGCCTGGTGATGATCTCAGCTGGTCCAAATCCCGGGTTGCAGCGACAGGCGGAGCTGTTCAAACATTTGGAAGTTGGAGGGCACCACAAGGCACAGTCTGTGAGGGAAGAGTCCACAATCAGAAGGGAGCACGATCAGAGTGGAGCACCGGCCCCTCCCCTGCAACCTCCTCCATCACTGGGCCAGGGGGCGGGGAGGGGCCAGGTCCCTCCAGGCTCCGCTGTGGGCCACACCCAACTCACTCTTGCTGTCCTGGGCTCCGGCTCCTGATAGACTCAGCAGGACACACAGTGCTGTAAGTGACAGGGCAGGGTCAGCAGGGCTGAGCAGGAAAGGAGGCTCAGGGTAGATGGGTGTGAGGGCTGGCACCTGCCCCTCCCAGGCTCAGGGACGGCTAGCAGCTCTGACTGGGGCTCTGTCCCCTGTCACCTCCAGGGGGGCCTGAGGTGGCCCAGGGTGGGAAGGCCTGAGCCCTGGGGGAGGTGGTCGTGGCTCAGCTGCCTGCTCTCCTGGCCTGTGTGCTGGAGCCTGAAGCAGGAGGATCCTAGGTTTAAGCCCAGCCTGGGCAACTTAGCAAGATCATCTCAAAATAAAAATAAAAAGGGGGTGGGAGGGGGCCCAGTGTGAGGCCTTGGGTTCAGTTCCCAGCACCACAGAACAAAAACAAGACCAACAGCCTCTGGGAGCTGGGTGCTGTCCCAGCTCCCAAACCCGAGAGCTCTCAGGGGTTCTGTCCCCGCCCTGCCCCACCCTTGGAGACCTTGCACCTCTGCCTCCACCACTGAGAGCCCCAGGGCTCCAAGGGACCCAGCAGCGCCATCTGGCCCAGCTCCCCACACAGGAAGATGCTGTGGGCACCACAGGCTCGGGCTGAGGCCCCTGCTGCTACCCCTGCCAGGGCTGTAGGATGTCTTGTCCCTGCCAACATGGGGCAGGACCTCGAGGACCCCAATAAACCCGGAAGTCCAGGAGCGTAGTACGGGTGGAGGGCCAGGGCCCCAGGGTATGGGTGAGTCACTTCCTGGGTCAAGGGGAGGTGACTAAGTTCCGAGGGACACATGGATCCTGGGTCCAGTACTATGGGTGCAGCTTAGGGGGCTGGGGGCTCCGATGGGGGTCCTCCAGCACTCACTCACCTGTGTCTAAACTTGGTCCCCTAGCCCAGGGGACGGTGGAGTCCCCCAGCCTTACCCTCCCAGTAGGGTACACTGAGGCCGGAGCTCCACCCCACGGCCTTCCTAGTGCCCACAGCCTTGCCTTCTTCCTCCTCTCTGGCCGCAGGGCCCGGCCAGGTCCCCCCAGCCAGGACACACTTCCTTTTCCAGGGACACCACACAGCGACCTTCTCGGGCTGGATTCATCACCCTCCCCAAAGCCCCACACAATTCTTTTCAGGCTCCAAAGTACCTGGGAGGCGGGGGCTGTGTTTATGGGGAAACTGAGGCCTGGAGGATCAGGACAAATGGCGTAGAAGGAGGGGCCTGGAGAAGGTGGATTTCAGGGGTAAGTCCCGCCCAGCCTGGGAGGGCTCCCTGGCACCCCGATATTCGCCTCAGGGTGCCCCTCCCACCCTGAAGCCACCAGGCCAGGGCATCCCCATCTGGGGACTCGGAATTCAGCCAAATGGGAGCCAGAGCAGAGCTGCTGGCCATCCGTTCTTCGGCCATCTGCTTCTCATTCTCAGGCGAGCAGGAAGGTCCCTGCCTGGGGACACTGGGGAGGCTGGGGGTGCCTTCTGCTAAGAACCACAGATGCCTAGCACTGGACCGGAGGGAATTCACTACCATCACAAGAATGAACTGCTGAGGGCTCAATACTGCCTGTGAACCAGGAGCCCTTTGTATAAAATGATCCTGTAACACGGAGGCCTGCCTTGCTCCTTTCTATTTTGATTTTTTGGTAATGGGGTGCCCTGCCACTGAGCCACACCCTCAGACCCTCCACAAGTGGCCCCAAACTGGGCTGAAACTTGCCCTGGTCCTGCCTCAGCCTCCCCAGTAGTTGGGAGTTCGGGAGCACACCATTGCCACCACACCCAGCGCCTGCTCCGTTTCACAGCTGAGGACAACAGCGCCCCAGGCTCTGTCACTTGGCCCTGTGACACAGCCAACCAGGCCCAGGCAGCTGTGACCCAGCAACTGTGCCCCACGGTGTTCCTGTCCCCACTCCTGAGCCCGGGGCACTGTGCTGCCACCTTCTGTGGCAGCCTGGCCCTGGCCCAGCGAGTCTGTCCCCATGTCATTTCTCCACTGTGTTGCCTGTCTCTCAGGCAACGGTGCCCCACAACTGTTAGGGGAACCCTGGGTGTGGCAAGGAGGGGAAGTGACAGCAGTCAGGTTCAGCCCAGCTGAGATCCCGCCAGCCACAGCCCAGTCCCAGCCTGGTCCTCAGGCTCAGGAACGGGATCCATGAGGACTGTCCCAGCCACAGAGACAGCGGGGACATTGTGGGGGTGCCCCAAGCACCAGTCCCCGCCTGAGCTTTGCATTAGGAGCCGCTGTAGTGCAGTCTTTAACACTCCATTTGGGCCTTTTCTTTCTTTTAATTTTTGTTTGAGACAGGGTCTGGTTAAGTTGCCCAGGCTGGGCTCAAACTTTGATCCTCCTGCCTCAGCCTCCCGAATGCTGGGATGATAGGCGTGCGCCTCCACACCTAGCTCGCCCTCTTTTTTTCCCCGTGCTTCAACTTCCCCTCTAGGGGTGCAACCTCCACTTGGGCTCCGCACAAAGCTGGGAACTCCCCCCCGCCTCCCGCTGGGGTGCAGGTTCTCTGCCTTGGCCACGTGGCCCCCACTCCCGCCCTCCGCAGGGCGCGGTTCCTACCGAGCAGTTGGTGCGGGGCTCCCATGGCGCCAGCCGGCCGGGGACGCGGGGAACAGGACGCTGGGACCGGGACGCAGCGGGCGGGACGCGCAAAGGCTCCTGGCGCAGCTGCACCCAGACTGGCTTTAGGAAGGGGGAGGCGCCAACCCTCCCCGGAATCCCGGGGGCGGGAGCTCTCGGAGCCCGCAGGCAGTGCCCACGCCCACACGCAGACCTGCTCCACAGGCCTGGGGGCGCCCTGCAGCCGCCAGTGGCTCGCGGGACCAGCGCGGGAGAGCCTCCTGACTCGGCGTGGCTTTGTGCACGCGCAGGCTGGAAAATGGGACGGAGGAGGGAGGGATTTTCCCCAGGACCTTCCTGGCTTTTGTCCTCCGTGAATGGGGACTGGCGGGGAGGGCGTGGCAGCGCATGCCTGTGAGCCCAGCACTCTGGGAGGCTGAGGCAGGAGGACCCAAAGTTGGACCTTGCTAGACCTTGTCTCAAAAAAAAAAAAAGAGCTGGGGATGTAACCTAGTTGCAACGATCCTGGGTTCAATTCTCCAGTACTAGAAAAGGAAGGAAGGAAGGAAAAAGGACAGAAATGGCCCAGGTCTCCATGTAGGGCTGCTCTGTGCTCTTGGCTGGGCCACCTGGGCTCCCCTCCATTTCACCAGGGAAAATGAGGCCCCGGGGCTGGGGCTGCAGCTCATGGCACGGCGTGATGAGCACACATAGTCCCTGGTCCCCCCTCAGCACCCCCAAAAAAATAAGAGCTAGAGAAGGAGGATCACAAGTTGGAGTCAGAACCGGCAGCAGTTCTAGGGTGTCCACATTAATCAATTAATCAGTAGGGAGTCAGGATAGGAGAGCTGACGCACATCTGTAATCCCAGCACTTGGGAGGCAGAAGCAGGAGGATCACCATGAGTTCAAGGCCACTCTGGGTTACATAGTGAGTTCAAGGCCAGCCTGGACTACGTAGCAAGATCCTGCCTCAAAAAACAAAACAAAACAAAATTGTAAGCCGTGAGTTTGCATGGGTTGAGACCCAAGGGCTTTGCTTCTGTGGACTCTGGTTCCTCAGGTCACCTGTGGGGCTGGTGCTTTACGGAGGAAGCTGCTGCTGGGACCAGTGTGTCTAATGCCTCAACACCTCAGGCTTGGCAGGTAGCTGCTTCTGGCCAGGATTCAGACCTGGCTTTGTGTGCCTTAAATTGACATCTTCTGGGCTGAGGGCGCAGCTCTGTGAGCACTTGCCTAACATGCATGAGGTCCAGGCTTCCATCCCCAGCACTGCAAACAAAGAAAGGCAGGCTCAGCACTCTGGGAGGCTGAAGCAGGAGGATCACAAGTTCACAAATTCAAGTTCCACCTGGCCACTTAGCGAGACCCTGTCTCATGATAAAAAATCAAAAGGGCTGGGGATGGAGCTCAGTGTGGAGTGCCTGGGTCCAATCCCCAGAATCACAGAAAATAATAATAAAAATAAATAAATAAAAAGTTTATTTTAAGTTATCTGCTAGTTGGGACAAGAAAGAGCATTTTCTAATGAGGATGCTGCCATCAAGTCACTTGTTTATTTATTTTTAAAATTAATTGTGTTTTAGGGGCCGGGGATTTAGCTCAGTGGTTTCGACGCCTGCAGTGCAAGTGCAAGGACCTGAGTTCGATCCCCGGTACCAAAATAAAAAAAAAAAAATTAGTTGTGTTTTGCTTTCAGGTTTGTTTTTTATTTTATTTTATTATTATTTTTGTGGGGGGGGCGTACTAGGGATCAAACTGCGTCCGTCTTACCTGATGAATTCCACGTGCAAAAATGAGGGAGAGTAAAGAAAAATGCCGTACATAGTTGTTAGTCACCAAGGACAGAATCCCAGCAGCATGATTCTGGGGGTGGCTGCTGCCTTGGCCAGGAGGAAAGGAGGGGACCTCGCCAGCATAGGGCCAGAGGGATTTTTTGTTTTTTCTTTGCAGTACTGGGGATTGAACCCAGAGCTTTCCCACTAAGCAGCCCCCCCAGCCCTTTAAAAAAATTTTTTTTAGGGCTGGGGATTTAGCTCATTGGTTCCACCGCCTGCCTAGCAAACGCAAGGACCCGAGTTCCATCCCCAGTACCAAAAAAAAATTTTTTTTGGAAACAGGGTCTCACTATGTAGCCCAGGCTGACCTCAAACTTGTGGCAATCCTCCTGCCTCAGCCTCCCAAGTGATGGGATTACAGGTGTGCACCACCATGCCTGGCTTTAATTTTTTATTCTGAGACAGGGTCTCACTAAATCACTGAACTGCCCAGGTTGGGCTTGCACTTTTGATCCTCTTGCTTCAGCTTCCCAGAGTGCTGGGTGACGTGTGTGTGCTAGCTTTGTTCTTTAGGGTAGGAAGGAGCAGCAGTGTGCTTGTGGGACTCATCTGTGGAATCAGGCTCAGTATCGGAAGACCCCATCAACCTTGGCCAGAGACCTGGGTTATTTGTAAAGCCTCAGCGATCACAAGCCTGGTGTGGACCTGACTGCCAAGTAGAAGCCCCTGCGTTTACCACCTTCCTTTTTTTACCTTTCCCTCCCTGCTCCCTTCTCTCCCTCTATCCCTTCCTTTCTTGCAGTGCAGTCCATGGATCCACAGGCCTCTCCCATGCCAGGCAAGTGCTTTACCACTGAGCTACACCTCCAGCCCTGTTCTAAATTTTAAGACAGGATCTTGTTAAATTGCTAACTTGTGATCCTCCTGCCCCAGCCTCCTTATTAGCTGGGATTACAGATGTGCACCACCTTGCTGAGCTGATTTTGGCCTCTTTCTCCTGACACGCCTCCCCATGGACATGCAGGTCAAGCGGCACGTGTGGTGCATCAGTCTGGGGACAGGAGAGTCTCAGCTTCATCCCTACATCAGCAAGTCCAAATAGACATGGAGTCCCCACTTCTTCTGCTCCAGCCCACCCTGGGCTTATCCTATGCTGTCCTGACCCAATGCTCCAGCTCCCAGCCCCCTCTCTCCGTACGCACCCTGAATCAGGACACATATATCCCCAGCTCAAGAACCCTCCATGGCTCCCAGTCTGTCACAGCAAAACCCCATGTCATCCCTGTGGCCCTATGGCCCTGTACATCATGCCCTGTTACTGCCCTGACCTCATTTCTCCTCTCTCTCCCCCTTAGGCCACAGTGCCAGTGTTCCTTGTAGAAAACATGAAACACAGTGACCCCAGGGCCTTTGCACAGGTGGTTGCCTCTCCATGAATCCTTCTTACTCCTAAGGAACTGATAGTTTCCTCTCTCCCCTCTTTCAGGTTTGTGCTCAGATACCCCTTGATCCACTCCCTCATGTAAAATATAAGATGTCACCCTGGTCACTGCAAACTTCCTGCTTTTTAAATTAAAAGAATTTTTGTGAGACAGTGTCTCACTATGTAGTACAGGCCAGCGTTGAACTCACAATGTACCCCAGCCTGGCCTCAGCCTCCAGAGTGTTGGGATCACAGATGTTCGCCACCATGCCTGGCTCCAGCTGCCACCTTAATCGCTATCTCGGGACTGGCTCTGTGAGCGAGGCAGCTGGCATCCAGGGATGGTCACTCTTACCCGCGGGACATGGCCTCACCATGGTGACTTCATCCGGGTGATCTGTTCCTGGATGTTCTGGAAGCAGAAGTGAGTGCATGTTTAGGGCAGTGGCTGGAGATGCCCAGTGAGGGCGTGGGACAGCATATTACCCAGCCAGCAATCCATGTCCCTGCGGATTCTGAACACGGACTCACTCCTCTGGTCTCGGTTTTGAAGTGGGTGACGTAGGCTGGGGGAATTTAGGGCTCACAAACCTCGCAGTGATGGTTTTAGACAGGTACTCTCTCAGTGCTTACCATGTCTATGGGCAGTACTGCCCAGGGTCTGACCAGAGTTCAAGGTAATAAAGGTGACAGACACAAAATTGAAGGGAGAAGCTGGGCATGATGGTGTACACCTGTAGTTCCAGCACTCTGGGAGGCTGAGGCAGGAGGATCGCAGGTTCTAGCACAGCCTGTGCAACTCAGTGACATAGTGAGACCGTCTCCAAATAAAAAATGTTTGAACAGCACTGGGGATGCAGTGCAATGTGAAGGCCCTGGATTCAATCTCCAGTGCTGCAAAAATAAAATAAAATAAGAGGCTGAGGCAGGAGGATTGCCATGAGTTTGAGGCCAGCCTGGGCTACCTAGTAAGTTCAAGGCCAGGCTGAACTATATAGCAAGACCCTGACTCAAAAGAAAACAGAAGGCTGGGGATTTAGCTCAGTGGTTCCACCGCCTGCCTCAAAAGTGCAAGGACCCCAGTTAAATCCCTGGTACCAAAACAAAACAAAACAAAGGGCCGGGGATTTAGCTCAGTGGTTCCACCGCCTGCCTCAAAAGTGCAAGGACCCCAGTTAAATCCCTGGTACCAAAACAAAACAAAACAAAGGGCCGGGGATTTAGCTCAGTGGTTCTGGCGCCTGCCTCGCAAGCGCAAGGTCCTGAGTTCGATCCCTGGCACCAACCCCCCCCCCCCAAATAAACCCAGACAAAACAAAACAAAAACAAAAGCAAAATACCCAAGGAGGCAGAGATGCTCAGCTCATTCTGGCTTTAGTTGCCCCATGGGGCATCTGTAGGCCCAGGACTCAGGTCCCTGTCACAAAAGCACCCCACGTCGCAGGGCCTAGGTGGCTCTTTGGTGGACGATATGGCCTCTCTGGGCCCCAGTCACAAGACCCACATCAGAGCTGCCCTTGCTGCCCTTGGTCATGGGGACCCCAGGTACCCCAGTGTCCTTCCTGCGGCTTCCTGTGCCACCACCAGTGCCCAGCACCAGCACAGCCTGGGGTCACATGGGGTCTTGCGTGGGCGGAGGGTACATAACAGGATGCCCGGTGGGGACAATAGCACAGGAAGGGCCGGGCACCCCCACGCGGATGAGCCCCCAGCGGGCTCCGGCTCCGGCCAGGCGGCCCTGTCATTGTCAGTGTAGACAACTCTCACCGCCAGGAAGCTAGCCAGAGTGCTAGGCGGGCACAGGCCGCCCTCACCCAGGCTGGCCCACAGTGGACCTGGGCTTCCACCTGCGGGCTGCACTCGATTCCCCAGCCTGGCTCCCCCAGGGTGCAGAGCCACCTGCTCAGCCTGGGAGACAGGAATTGGCTGTATTTAGAGTCACCTGGCAGTGCTGAGCAAATGGCTAAAACATAGCAGAGGAACTATTTGGAGTCCAAGTGTGCAGTGGAAAGAGAGCCCCACATATGCCTGCCTGGTGCTGCCCCCAAGACACCCCAGCCCCCAAGACACCCCAGCCCCCAAGTCTCCCTGGCGGGGAGTCATA